CCCGCGAATTGTTTGACATGTTTAAATCTGCAGTGGTCGTATCTTTCAATGTTATCTATATCGGTTAAACGATATTTTTTTATTTCAATACGTAACCACTCACAGAGAACTAGCAAGTGTGCCACAACATATGAACAAAAAGAGATCTAAAGAGTGTGTTCATAGGTTGTGTGCCCAGTTGCCCAGACCGAGGAAGGGGGATAACTTGGGGGTCCCCACACGAAGCCTTTGGCTAGAAAGCCAGACCTGCAAGACAATAGGACGGAGTTTAGAGTCCGCAGTCCATTGGGGGCCGGTGGTCATTTGGACGGGGTCAAACGTCCAGGGTTGCCCAATACACCTTGACGCTCAATCAAGCTGGTGACCATTGCTGCAATCAGGAAGGTATGTGGTTCGTACGCCTCTTCTTGGTTGGTTTGGAATCAGGGTTCCTAACCAACTCCCCTAGGTGAACTACCAGTGGTTATAGCCCCGGAAGTCGGCTTTTCGTCCTCTCACTTTGGTGGGAAAACCACCATCACGGGAAGGCATTGGGTACGGCTTCCTCACCAGAGGCTATTTAAGACGCTTGATCATATGGGAGCGTTTCGCGAGGTGTAAGGGAATGGTGACCTGTCACAATCCCAGACACCCACCCCGACCATACTGAGGCTTTGAAATCGAAATGATGCTATACTTGAACGTCCGAATCGGCGTAGAACTATCAACGGGGTGTGCGGTGCACAAAGTCTGATCATCACTTAAAATCTCCGGACTTATGCTACGGGATTCGTTTAGTGCTGCACGTGACTACATGCATTAATTAAACAAGTAGTATTTAAGTAGTAATAGTAGTTAAGTTCTTTGGAAACGGATATTTTGTTGGAAAACTTTATACTTTTCGAGCTTAAGGATTAGAAATCTTCGGTCATCGCGCTTGTTATGAACGCTTGAGACGGTCATGTGTTCCGCAGATCCCGTAATCGATGAGCTGAAGATAGGGTCAATCAGGCCGTGGTTGTTTTACAACAAGTTCACCAATGAACATCGACGATTCAGTCATGTGTTCCTCCTCCTCCGGTCATCGGTTCACTCACTAATCCGTTTTGACAACTCCTCGCCTCGTGAATGGTTCGAAGCTATTTTGGACTGCGAAGGTTGAATCTTTAAGATCTCGTTGTGCAAGGTTAGTGATGGTACTCCTGGTCAACACCACGCCGGGAAGCTTTGGTAGACTTGTTGATCGACCTGAGTGTGTGTAGCAGTCAAATCCACTGACATTTTGTACACTTATCCTACACACTGGATTCTAATCTGTATTAGCCCACCAATGACCGGTGGGCTAAACAACCTAATCGAAACGATTTGCTGATGAGGTCTATCTGTGGGTGTTTTGTTTTTAACTCCAACAATAGAATGGATTGCTCAGCGATATTTTTGGCTGGTTGGACCGTGCTATGGTGTGGACATCAAAATCTAGAGCTTGGCTTACAGCACCTCAGAAACGAGCATTAGGTCCGCACAATCCCTCCTGCTTGCTATTCATTATCTTGAGGCTTGTCATGGAGAGCCTGATGCCGTTCATGAAGATCTTGACTTTTTCTTTCCCCATCTATTTTTCCTAGTCACGTGACTTGATTTATTGGCCTCATTTGTGATGTTTTCTAGTTTACGCGTCATCAATGCATTGTTATTCTTCCATTTTGAACCGTTCTACTCAGCATTGGCAGCAAACACTACTGTAGAAGTTTGAATGAAACCACGATCTCAATCCACATAAAGTTTGATTACATAGAACAGCTTGTGGTGGTGATGGGCGAGTGGTTAGGTCGTCGAAATAGCCACCTCGAGGTTCTGAGCTCGAACCACGCCACTTCCGCTCAGCTTCTCATTTTCTGTATTTCCCCAGGCCACCGCCTCCTTCCTGAAAGTGTTTTGTACATTTGTGTAATCAGTAAACAAAAAAGGGAGTAAAATATTATCACTGTTTGATATATGTACCTAGTATAATGGAACACGGTTCTAGCGAAGAAGCCACATGCCGTCAGGTAATAAATAGAAGAAGATAGTTGACTGTGTAAAGCTTGCGGTGATAAAGGAATTTCAGTCGGTTTGATTACTACCACGATGTGCACTAGTATATCGTGCGTGGTATTCTCACTGTGAATAGCAGCAGTGCTAGATGCTAACTCTATCCCGGAGACAACAATGAAGGAAACGATTAGCATTGGTTTTTCGTTGTTGGAAAAATAAATCGATGCTGAAAGGTTGTTTCCTGTTTGATTGAAGACTCGATCGACACCGGAAGTCTCCTATTTAGGTCGTTGGTGACCTTGTGCTTTACTCATGTTCTGTGCTCGTTTCTGAACGGAATCCCTTTAACTGCTCACATCCCAGAATCGACTATCGACTACTCGCACTCCAAGCATCACTCCCCGTGACAGGATGCGGACTGGTGTTTTTCAACCATATATTCTCATTCCCATAAAGCTTGATGAGCGGCTTCCGTTGATCCGTTTAATCTCGATTTCCCTGCATTCTTTTCGCTTCGAATTTTTTCTATAACGCTCATACCGAGCGCATTCTAAGTAACCAGTATCAGGCATTAGCGAATTTTCCGATCGATTTCGGATTGTGATTTTCCTCCGGTTCGATTGTCCAACGAACTGACTGCATAGGCTCGTTTTTGTATACGGGATCAATAAAACCGTTTGGTTCAACCATTGAAGCGCGTGACAATTGAATGCGAATCCATACTGACAGAGTAAAATCATGCCGTTTTTGTATACCTATCTGGATTGCATATGTCATCCAGTTGGCGTGCTATCGTTAAACAACAAGACGCTTTTTCACTACCCCCCCCCCCGTCCCTCTATTCTTGCTAGGGCTGTAAACTGGGCGATTCGACCGATTTTCTCCCGGGCGATGTGTTCTTTGTGCAACCAGCAAATGCCCCCGATGATGTCGACCGATTGCTTCGTCATACAGGCACGAATCCAGCACAACGTGTTCTCGTGACAGCACAGGATTCAGGTGTTCCCGTCGATCGGCTTCTGGCTTCCGTGAGTCGAAATCGACCAGGTGGGATATCCGCGGCCTGGTTGGCCACATACTATTTCGATCTGAATGCTATCCCCACTCCGGAGCTATTTACCGCATTGATATTGATTAATAAACAGGTATTAGAAAAATTAAATCCCTCTAACGAAGACCAATCACGCTTACAACTCGAATATGATCGATTGTGTGAACTCGCGTCAGCTTGTTGGTCGCCGGAAGAAATGGACGATCTAAACGACTACGTCACACGACCTCATCGTCGTGTAATCGAAACCCTACTGGATTTCCCAGTGACTACGTCTCATTTAAGCCCAATCACCTGGTTTGATGTACTCCCAGGGCCGATACGAGCACGACCGTATTCGATCGCATCAGGTCCACCACAAATTGAACTTCTTGTGGCTGTGGTATCCTATCGTACACTCATGTCCACACCCCGTCGTGGGTTAGCTACCTCCTACCTAGCTTCACTCGCACCCGAGGATATCATACCGGGTTGGATTGAATCCCAAGTGGCCGGTGGTTTTGATTTTGCCTTACCGTGCCAGACCGCTTACACCAATCCTTGTATACTGATTGCTCCGGGCACGGGGATCGCACCAATGCGCAGTTTTCTCCAACATCTACGTGCTCTGTACCCGACCGAACCACAAGGACCAGTCCGAATTCTACTATTTTTTGGATGCCGTAATTCGAACAAAGACTTCTATTTCCAATCCGAATGGATGAAATATGTGGCAGAGAATCGGATCCGATTGATCTGTGCGTTCTCACGTGAACCGACCGAGCCGGCTCGACCCGATCGGGTGTACGTACAGCATCGGATACGAGAGAACGCTTCCGAGGTCTGGACCTGTCTATCCCAACCCAATTGTGTGATCTATGCGTCCGGCAATGCGAAATCGATGCCCACGGAAGTACGAGAGGCACTGGTTGCAGTTTGTCAGACAGCTGGTGGATTGTCTACGACCGATGCAGAAGCACTGCTCAATCAGATGGAAGCCCAACGTCGATTTCAAATTGAGGCATGGTCTTAAGTATTTTCTATCCATCCTGGAAATTGTACATATTCCATTTTTGTGCAGAATAATATAGAGTATTATTGTTCTTTGTATCACTTGTTCTCTCTGGTAATCGTTTGTGTGTGTTGCTTACTGTTCCGCCTATGCATGTATGTGTCGCCGGACCTTTGTGTTTAGATCGGTCAGCCGCATAATCAGTCCGTCAGATAATCAGTTCAACCACACGGGGTCATGACTTTCTAGCACTTCTAATCGGACGATCGGTCTTTGTGAACACAAAAGGATTGTGACGACGGGTGCTGAATCATCCAGCAGACTTTAAAAGCCTTGATTTTAAATATCCCAACAAACGATTTTAGTGTGATTCTAAACAAGATCGTAGATCAAATTGAGTTCTGCTTATCTGTCAATCTCATCCTTGGCCCGTGCTGTGCATCATCATCATCATCATCGTCATCATTGTACAGCGAAATACACAGAAGCGAACTTCACTGATCGCTGCCAAACTCGCACTGCATATGCATTGGGGTTTGATAGACGGGTACTGCTAGGGTGTCCAGCCACTAAGCAGGAGAACGATTAGGGTTCTCGTCCAAAGCCTTAAGTCCTAACAAGAACCCAGCCGCAAGGCAGCGGGTGAAGCGAAGTGGAGGCCCATTTACTTCGACCGATTACTCCTCCATCATTTTTTGCCGACTGAAACGCAAATTCTAGTCGAACCTCCAACCTGGAGGACCAGAAGACTGAACTTCGTCCTACCCTTACCCTTCGACCTTCCAGGCATGATTAGATCTTCGGCTTGACAAAAACCATCGTGTATAGCTCGTTGGATCAGAGAGGTGCACAAGCCATCAGACGACGTCAAGGTGCAGTCTCATCGTGATGCTATGCAATCTATCGGATATCAAATTAGAATAGATTACAGATTCCATTTACCAACCCTCCCCCTCTCAGGTTTTACAAGTAAGATCTTTCCACGGGTCTTCCCGTAGTTGAACAACCAAAAGTCAGCTTAAGCGTCTTGAATCACAGAAAATTGAGGAAGCAAGGTTCTTCAACTGTTGCATTGGTCTCTTAAAAGTTGAGAAACCCTTGCAGTCACCCTTGACATATAGATTAGTCGAATCCAGCGCCGACTAAATATTTCAGTAGCTCCTTTTCGGGTTGTTTATCTCGCCATTGAAATAAAATTTCCGACTGTAAACAATATTGAACTACACTGTGAAGGCCTTAGTATGATCAGGGATGGATGTCTTGGATTGTGGCTAACCTCCCCTGACACCTCTGAAGATGCTCCTAAACCTCCAACCATCTGAAATAGCTCCTGCTGAAGAAGCCCTGTTAATTGCCTTCCTGTTCCGGAATTGTTTCCCCACAAACGTAAAAGGACAAAAAGCCAACATCCATAGTTATAACCGGGTCGGTGAACCGCTGGAAATTCATCTAGGGGAGTTACTTAAAACCGCTGATTTCAAAACACTAAAGAAGAGGTGAATGAACCACTCACCTTGGTTGTAGCCTATGTTCACCGCCTCGATTGGGCATCGAGGTGTATTGGGCACCTTGAACGTTTGCCGCTGACCAGAGGGCGTTCGGTCTGATTAAATAGACAC